ATCCACCTTCACAAAGAGAATCTGCTGTGAGGTGTGGAGATAACTGCCGTACCTCTGGGATTTGCCACAGCATTCTTGCCAAGGCACGCTTTCCCTGGATTCATCCCAGCCAATGACCGAGCCCCAGGGCATACTACAGCTGGGCCATTTCTGCCTTATGTGGGACTCCTTTACTGGGCAATCAGCCTGGCCAAGAGTTTTTTCAGAGCTGCACTAACACTCGGAGCCTCTTCCTATCCAATCCTCCTTCTTTCCTTCTCTCCTCTCACGGGTGTCAGTCCTGCACTATGGCCTGAAGATTCTCCCTGTCTATTCTTCTTCTTCTTATCTTTTCAGTCATTTTCCCCTTGAACTTTTTTCTTTTTTAGAGACAGGGCCTCACTCTGTCACCTAGGCTGGAGTGCAGTGGCTCAATTATATCTCATCGGAACCTCGAACTCCTGGGCTCAAGCCCCCTCCCGTCCTCAACCTCAATCTCTTGAGTAACTATCTGCCTTGAACTCGTGAGAGGACTCAAATTTATGCAGCTTTTAGCTGTTTCTAAGGAAAAGTTTGATATGGGTGCTACCATAGTGAAAGCCTAAAATGTGGAATTGGCTTTGAAACCACCTGGCTGACTGAGGCTGGAAGGACCTTGAGGTATGGCATGTGGCTCGCGCCTGTAATCCCAGCATTTTGGGAGGCTAAGACAGGCGGATCACCTGAGGTCAGGAGTTCAAGACCACCCTGGCCAATATGATGAAACCCTGTCTCTACTGAAAATACAAAAATTAGCTGGGCATGGTGGCAGGCATCTGTAATCCCAGCTACTTGGGAGGCTGAGACACGAGAATCGCTTGAACCTGGGGGACAGAGGTTGCAGTGAGCTGAGACTGCACCACTGCACTCCAGCCTGGGCAACAGAGTGAGACTCCATCTCAATAAATAAATAAATTAATTAAAATTTATGGGAGGCCATTGATTTGGACTAGGTTCCTGCACTCAGCCTAATAGACCAAACCAATGGAGTTTTAACTACAGTGACTGAGCTGAGATTATAGGCGTGCACCACCACACCCAGCTAATTTTTATATTTTTAGTAGATGTGGGGTTTCACTCCGCTGGCTAGGCTGGTCTTGACCACTCCTGACCTCAGGCGATCCACCTGCCTTGGCCTTCCAAAGTGCTGGGATTACAGGCATGAGTCACCGCGCCTGGCCTATTTTCTACATGATTTTGCAATGGTTTTCCAGCTTAAAATTTAGAGTCAATTTGTTCATGTAAAGAGGATATCAAATACCAATATCCTAAAATATTAACAAACTATTAAGTGTAAAACTCCCCCAAATTCAGCTTAATATGAAGCATGCTACTTGCATCATAGAATTTTCAAATATTTCAGGTCACATTAACAAAGAAAGGAAAAATTGGGTTACTGTTGCCAAAGATGTCACAGATAGTATGTAATTCTGACAGGCAGATCCAAGACAGGGAAGCAGTTTAAAACAAAACAAAACAAAACAGGTTTGACTTAATAGGTTATACTTAGAAAATGTTACCCAATATTAGAAAATATATATTTTTGTCAAGAATTTCCACGGAGCTTTTATGAATGTTGACTGTGCTCCAGGTTACAAAATGAGTCTCAAACACCAAAGAATCAGTATACTTACCACATGGGGTGTCTCATTATAATTGGAGGACAATAACAACAGTAACAGCAACACCTTAAAATACCCTGTATGTTGGAAAAATTTTAAATATACTTACTGCTAAAGTGATCAAAGAAGACACCATACAAGAAACGTATCAGAAAATACTTAGAATGATTTTAAGAACACTATGTTGAAATGTATAGGATGTACTTAAGGAGAAATGCATAGCCTTACGTGCTTATATTAGAAAAAAAGATAGGCTGAAATTTAAGGAGCTAATCTTTAAAGTCAAGATGTTAGACAAAAAAACAACAAAGAAAGCAGAAGTGGCAGGGCATAGTGGCTCACACCTGTAATCTCGCCACTTTGGAGGCCAAGGCGGGAGAACTGCTTGAGGCCAGGAGTTCGAGACCAGCCTGGGCAGTATAATGAGACCCCCATCTCTAGAAAAAAATTTAAAATTAGCCAGGCATGGTGTCTCAGTCTCCGCTACTCAGGAGACTGAAGCAAGAGGATCACTTGAGCCCAGGAGATCAAGTCTGAAGTGAGCCGTCATCACATCACTGCACTCTAGCCTGGCAACAGAGCAAGACCCCATCTCTAAATAAATAAATAAATAAAACCAAAAAAAAAAAGAAAGAAAGAAAGTAGAAGTAATGAGATAATAAAAACAAGAGGAGAAAAAACAATAGGAGAAACTAAGCAGAAAACAAATATATGTGATAAAAGAGATTGATGGAACCAAATGTTGGTTCTTTGAGAAAAGTGATGAAATAGACAAACCACTGGTGAAATGATGAAGAAAAGAACACACACACACACACACACACACACAAAAACAGAAGTAAAAAAGAGGACATACTACAAGTACGGCAGAGACTTATGATGTACATATTTAAAGACTGTCTACCCCAGCCTGCCCTCTGGCCAACACCATTCATGTCCATTCCATGTGCAAAATATACTCACTCTCCTCCCAGGACCCCCAAAATCTCATCCCACATGGTATCAGCTTGAAGTTCACGGTCTCATTACCTAAATGAGGTCTAGGTGCAGATGAAGCTCTTCAGGTGTACCTCCTTGAGTGTGGGTTCCTCTTGATATGAAGACCTGTGAAATACAGTCAAGTCATCTGTAACACAAACACAACATCCAATAGTCATATGAGGATGGAAAACTAATAAATGCTCCCATTCAAAAGGGATGAAGAAGAGGTACATAACAGTCAGTGTTCCATAGTAATTCTGAAATCCCAGTCACACGCACATTTCCGTGTCCTTGATTGGGACCCAATCCTGCTCACTGCAACCTCCACCTCCTGGGTTCAAGTGAGTCTCCTGCCTCAGCCTCCAGAGTAGCTGGGACTACAGGCACGCGCCACCACACCCAGCTAATTTTTGTATTTTTAGTAGAGACAGGGTTTCACCATGTTGGCCAGGATGGTCTCAATCTCTTGACCTCATGATCTGCCCACCTTGGCCTCCCAAAGTGCTGGGATTACAGGCGTGAGCCACCACACCCGGCCTAATTTTTGTATGTTTAGTAGAGACAGGGTTTCACCATGTTGGCCAAGCTGGTCTCAAACTCCTAACCTCAAGTGATCCTCCTGCCTCAGCTTCCCAAAGCACTGGGATTACAGGCATGAACCACGGAGCCTAGCTGGGTGTGATTGTGTTCTAATACAACTTGATTTACAAAAACTGGAGGCAGGCCAGGTTTAATCTAGGGGGCCATAGCTTGCTGGTCCCTGATCTAGGAAAGAAAAGGAAGTTCTGCATATCAACCCCAATAATACAGCAGAAAAATAGAGCAACCCCAATTACAAAAAAGAAAAAACATGGAAAGGTACATGAGTAGGCAATACACAGAAGAGGAAACTCAGAAGAATAATAAGCAAGTGAAGAGATTCTTAAATGCAATTACAATCAGAAAAATGTAAATTAACGATCTAATCTGAGAGCAAAAATTAGAGATATGACAGTGAGATTTGTTGGGGAGAGAGGAACTCCATAGTAGACATAAAGACTGGTGCCACTACTTTAGAGGGCAGTATGGTGGTACATAGTCAAATAGTGTGTCTGTATACTTAATGGTCAAGCAAATTGGCTTCCGAGTCAATATCTCAATGAAATGCCTACCCAAGTCCATAAAAGTTCATGAACTAGAATCCTGTAATCCCAGCACTTTGGGAGGCTGAGGCAATGGATGACCTGAAGTCAGGAGTTCGAGACCAGCCTGGCCAACATGGTGAAACCCCATCTCTACTAAAAGTACAAAATTAGCCGGACTTGGTGGCATGCACATGTAATCCCAGCTACTTGGGAGGCTGAAACAGGAGAATCACTTCAACCCGGGAGGCAGAGGTTGCAGTGAGCCAAGATCATGCCATTGTACTCCAGCCTGGGCAAAAAAGAGCAAAATTCCATCAGAAAGAAAGAAAGAAAGAAAGAAAGAGAGAAAGAGAGAAAGAGAGAGAGAGAGGGAAGGAGGGAGGGAGGGAAGGAAGGAAGGAAGGAAGGAAGGAAGGAAGGAAGGAAGGAAGGAAGGAAGGAAGGAAGGAAGGAAGAGAAAGAAAGAAAAGAACTAGAATCTTCATTGCAGCATCACTGGTTTCAGTTATTTTCTCTTTCTCTCTCTCTCTCTCTCTCTCTCTCTCTCTCTCTCTCCCCCCCCCCGTGTGTGTGTGTGTATATATATTTTATATATATATATATATATTCCCTTCATTCCATAGCCCAATTCTCATATATACATATATGAGAGAGAGGGAGAAGTGGAAGAATTGCATGAACCAATGGCGGTAATGTGCCATGGAATGCAGACAATGGTTAATCACATCTGAGGTTAAAATAAAAACAACATATAATATAAAAAGCCAGAGAATATGAATTTTTTTTTTGAAGGAATAAAGCAACTTTATAGGGAGATAAACCTCAGCAGGGCTATGAAACCCTCCTCAATTCTTCAGACTTGGGACTGGCCATCTCCACAGGCTTACATGTAAGAGTGTGCTGAGTAGCATCTGAGTCAGTATGAGAAACATCTGAATAACAGTGTGTAATGCCCCCTTGAAGTTACCAAGGTTTGAATCAGTGTACTCTAAATTCTGAATGTATATGGGTGATGACTAAATAAGCGCAGGTCATATCTGAATCAGCCTACCCAGTCCATAGTATCCAATATACATAGCATGATTCCCTAAAAATGTTATTATATATTAGTATATGCATACCAAAAAAAGGTGGAGGACTTTGCTATAATCTATTGATAGAGTTATTGGTGAGATGTGTGTGGTAGAGACTGGCCAAAAGTTCAACAAATCTCTTTCGTCTTCTGCCTGGCCACTCATCAGCTTACATTTCTCAGTCTCTCTTGCAGACAACTATGGCCATGTGCCTGAAATCTGGCCAATGGAATTGTGGACAATTCTCCGAGCTCTTTCTCCTTCTGTGGCAACTTTGAAAGCTTTGAAAGCTGTGTGTTCAAGATGAAGACAGAAGATAGAAGGAATCTAGTCTCTGAATCATTGCTTGGAGAAGAGCAATTTGATCAGTGGTGTGAAAATAAGTAATTCAAAATCTAAGCTATTGGGCCGGGCGCAGTGGCTCACGCCTGTAATCCCAGCACTTTGGGAGACCAAGGCAGGTGGATCATTTGAGGTCAGGAGTTCGAGACCAGCCTGGCCAACTGAGTGAAACCCTGTTGCTACTAAAAATAAAATAAATAAAATTTAAAAAATAAAAAAATTAGCCAGGCATGCTGGTACATGCCTGTAGCCCCAGCTATTTGGGAGGCTGGGGCACGAGAAACGCTTAAGCCCAGGAGGCAGAAGTTGCAGTGAGTCAAGATTGCACCACTGCATTCCAGCCTGGACAAGAGAGCAAGACTCTGTCTCAAAAAAAAAAAAAAAGAAAGAAAGAAAGAAAAAAATCTAAGCTGTTGGAACATTTAATTATTTTGAGCTTTAAAGAAAGGTGTTTATGAGGCTTGAGTCATGTGACAGGCAGCTGTAACCTAGGTAGCTGTAAACATTTTTTTTCTGATTATAGATTAGTCTTCTTATGTACGTAATTTTGTAAAATGTTGTAAATGACTAAAGGGTACTTCCCTTTAGTCCCACATCACTGTTGCTCTTCATTATAGATTAACTTCTATCCATAATTTTATCAAATTTTATAAAATTTTAAAAATTTTTGTGTGTGGCCAAAAGTTCAACAAATCTCTTTCCTCTTCTGCCTTGCCACTCATCAGCTTACATTTCTCTGTCTCTGTTGCAGTTAACTATGGCCATGTGCCTGAAATCCGGCCAGTGGAATTGTGGACAATTCTCTAAGCTTCTTCTCCTTCTGTGGCAACTTTGAAAGCTGTGTGTTCAAGATGAAGACAGAAGATAGAAGGAACCTTATAAAATTTTATAAAATTTTTTAAAATTATGGATAGAAGTTAATCTTATATAATGTATTACATAATTATCTTATGTAATTATCTACATAATTTTGTAAAATGTTGTAAATGACTAAAGGTACTTCCCTTGTACTTCCCTTTAGTCCCACTTCACAGTTGATCTTCATTGTAGATTAACTTCCCTCCTACCTCTGTCACACAAAACCTTCATGACTGTCACATTATATACTCTTTTCAATTAGAAAATAAATGAAACCAAGCCACAAGGAAAAGAAAACAAATTAACTGGCCGGGCGTGGTGGCTCACACCTGTAATCCCAGCACTTTGGGAGGATCACCTGATGTCGGGAGTTTGAGACCAGCCTGACCAACATGGAGAAACCCTGTCTCTACTAAAAATACAAAATTAGCTGGGCGTGGTGGCACATCCTATAATCCCAGCTACTAGGGAGGGTGAGGTAGGAGAATCACTTGAACGTGGGAGGCGGAAGTTGTGGTGAGCCAAGATCGCACCATTGTACTCCAGCCTGGGCAACAAGAGTGAAACTCCATCTCAAAAAAAAAAAAAAAAAAAAAATTAAGTGATTGAATTGTTTTAATTCATAAACCAGCTTTGTATGAAAAATGCTCCTGTTAAATTTCTTTGTTTTCTTCCTTTATAAACAAGACCTTAACTTTTGACTTCAGAGTACTGACCCCATTTCTCTGGAGTCTGTGTTTCCTGAATGGGTATTTCCAGATTTTCACTGAATAAACGCCTTAAAAAATTTTTTTTTAGAAACTGAGTCTCACTTTGTTGCCCAGTCTGGTCTTGAACTCCTGGCTTTAAGCAATTCTCCTTCTTGGTCTGCCACAGTGCTGGGATTACAGGTGTGAGCCACTGTGCCCAGCCTGAATAAACTCTTTAAAAATGGGTTCTGGGCCGGGCACGGTGGCTCACGCCTGTAATCCCAGCACTTTGGGAGGCCAAGGTGGGCGGATCACGAGGTCAGGAGATCGAGACCATCCTGGCTAACACGGTGAAACCCCATCTCTACTAAAAATACAAAAATTAGCCAGGCATGGTGGCGGGCGCCTGTAGTCCCAGCTACTCAGGAGGCTGAGGTAGAAGAATGGCGTGAACCCGGGAGGCGGAGCTTGCAGTGAGCCGAGATCGCGCCACTGCACTCCAGCCTGGGCGACAGAGTCCGTCTCAAAAAAAAAAGAAAAAAAAGCATTCTGATCCTTTTGATTCTTTCAGGTTGACAGGGGCAAAATTCTGTTTTAGATTTCACTGGTAAAAGATAAATCTTATCTTATTAGGCATTTGAGATGTTAGGATTGATCTGTTAAACTGCTAACATTACATTAACCCCTACATTAGAGTTATAGGAAACTGCAACTTTCTACATTTTACATTTACGTATTGTTTGCATTTTGCAGAGCTTTACATTGCATTTATAATCAGCATTGTATGCAATATAGATTTTTTTTTTTTTGAGACGGAGTCTCGCTCTGTCGCCCAGGCTGGAGTGCAGTGGCCGGATCTCAGCTCACTGCAAGCTCCGCCTCCCGGGTTCGGGCCATTCTCCTGCCTCAGCCTCCTGAGTAGCTGGGACTACAGGCGCCCGCCACCGCGCCCGGCTAATTTTTTGTATTTTCAATAGAGACGGGGTTTCACTGGGTTAGCCAGGATGGTCTCGATCTTCTGACCTCGTGATCCACTCGCCTCGGCCTCCCAAAGTGCTGGGATTACAGGCGTGAACCACCGTGCCCGGCCAAGACCAATTTTTTAGCTCCCACATACGAGCGAGAGCCTGTGGCATCTATCTTTCCATGCCTGGTCTATTTCGTTTAACATCATAACCTCCAGTTCCACCCATGTTGCTGCAAAGGACACAATTTCATTATTTTTTATGGCCATATAGTATTCCATTGTGTACATATGCCATTTTTAAAAATCTAGTTGTCCACTGATGGACACTTAGGTTGATTCTGTATCTTGTCTATTGTGAGTAGTCCTGCAATAAGTATGCAAGTGCAGGTATCCCTTTGATACACTGATTTCTTTTCCTTTGAATAAATACCCAGTAGTGTGATTTCTGGATTATATGGTAGTTATATTTTTAGTTTTTTGAGAAATGTCCATACTGTTTTCATTAATTGTGGTACTAATTTACATAAGAGATCCCTTTTCTCCATATTTTGGCCAGCATCTATTGTTTTTTATCTTTTTATAGTAGCCATTATAGGCCAGACGAGGTGGATCATGTCTATAATCCCAGCATATTTGGAGGCTGAGGTGAGAGAATCACTTGAGCCCAGGATTTTGAGACCAGCCTGGGTAACACAGTGAGACTCCATCTCTTTTTTTGTTGTTGTTTTGAGATGGAGTCTCACTCTGTCACCCAGGCTGGTATGCAATGGTGTGATCTCAACTCACTACAACCTCCATCTCTCAGGTTCAAGCAATTCTCCTGCCTTGGCCTCCCAAGTAGCTGAGATTACAGGCACGTGCCACAACACCCGGCTAATTTTTTGTATTTTCCGTAGAGATGGGGTTTCACCATGTTGGCTAGGCTGGTCTTGAACTCCTGACCTCAGGTGATCTGCCCACCTTGGCCTCCCAAAGTGCTGGGATTACAGGAGTGAGCCACCACGCCCAGCCAAGACTCCATCTCTACAAAAACATTAAAAATTAGCCAGGTGTGGTGGCTCATACCTGTAGTCCCAGCTACTTGGGAGGCTAAGGTAGGAGAATCACTTCAGCCAAGGAGGTCAAGGCTGCTGTGAGCTATGACTGTGCCACTGCACTTCAGCCTGGGTGACAGAGCGAGACCCTATCTCAAAAAATAAAATAAAATAAAAAATAGGCTAGGCACGGTGGCTGACGCCTATAATCCCAGTATGTTGGGAGGCCGAGGCAGGCGGATCAGGAGGTCAGGCAAATCACGAGGTCAGGAGTTCAAGACCAGCATGACCAACATGGTGAAACCCCATCTCTACTAAAAAATACAAAAAATTCGCCGGGCCTGGTGGCACTTGCCTGTAATCCCAGTTACTCAGGAGGCTGAGGCAGGATAATTGCCCGGGAGGTGGAGGTTGCAGTGAGCTGAGATCACATCATTACTGTCCAGCCCAGGTGACAGTGGGAGACCCTGTCTTTAAAAAAACCTTTTTTTTTTTAATTAAAAAAAAAAAATAGCCATTCTCAGGCATGGTGGCTCCCATCTGTAATCCCAGTGCTTTGGGAGGCTGAGGCAGGAGGATCACTTGAAGCCAAAAGTTGGAGAGAAGCTGGGCAACATAGTAAGATCCCATCTCTACAAAAATTTTAAAAATATAGGTTACATAAAGAAGTGGAAATTAATTGATTGGGAATTTGTTGAGGGAAGGATAGACAGATTAATGAAAGATATGGGACAGGAAATAACTGACTTTTTCTGTATTTTATGTTTTCTTTAACATATAATCCATTAATATCTTGTTATTGAATCAAGGTAATTATTACACCACCAGCACACACACACATACATAAACACACAAGCATTAAAGTCATTAGGGAAATGCAAATTAAAACCACAGTGAAATGTCACCCCATACCCACTATGATGGTTATAATTTAAAAAAAACAGACCATAGCAAGTGTTGGAGAGATTGTGGAGAACTTGAAACCCTGATACGTTGATGGTAGGGATGTAAAATGGTGCAGCCACTGTGAAAAATAGTTTGGCACTTCCTCAAAAAGTTAAACATAGAATTTCCATAAGGCCCATACGACCCAGTCATTCTTTATTATTATTTTATTATTCTTATTTTTTGAGAAAGAGTTTCCCTCTGTCGCCCAGGCTGGAGGGAAGTGATGTGATCTCAGCTCACTGCAACTTCTGCTGCCCAGAGGTTCAAGCAATTCTCATGCCTCAGCCTCCCACGTAGCCAGGATTTCAGGTAAGAACCACCATGCCCAGCTAATTTTAGTATTTTTAGTAGAGATGGGATTTTGCCATGTTGGCCTCAAACTCTTGACCTCAAGTGATCCGCCCACCTCGACCCCCCCAAAGTGTGGGATTATAGGCATGAGCAACCGCCCCGGCTGTGACCCAGTCATTTTACTTCTAGGTGTATACTCAAGAAAATTGAAAACAAACTTCTATACAAAAGTTTATATACAATATTTGCAAACCATTCATCCAACAAGGGATTAATATCCAGAATATATGAGGAACTCAAACAGCTCAACAATAAAAAACAAATAATTCCATTAAAAAGTGGGCTAAGGATATAAATAGATATTTCAAAAGAAGACATACAAATGACCAACAGGTACATGAAATAAATGCTCAGCATCACTAAGCGTCAAGGAAATGCAAATCAAAACCAGAATGAGATATCATTTTATCCAAAAAAGAATGATTGTCATTATGATTATAATTATTGTTGTTATTCTAAGAGTCAGGGTCTTGCTCTATTGCCCAGGCTAGAGTCAATGGCATGACCATAGCTCACTGTAGTTCAAGCAATCCTCCCACCTCAGCCGCCCCAGTAGCTAGGACTACAGGCATGCACCACCACAACTGGACAATATTTTAAAATTTTTTCTAGTGATGGGATCTTGCTATGTTGCCCAGCTGCTCTCCAACTTTTGGCCTCAAGCAATGCTCCTGCCTCAGCCCCCCAAAAGCATGGGATTACACATGTGAGCCACCATGCCTGAGAATGGCTATTATTTTATTTTATTTTATTTTATTTTTTGAGATAGGGTCTTGCTCTGTCATCCAGGCTGAAGTGCAGTGGCACAATCACAGCTCACAGCAGCCTTGACCTCCCTGGCTCAAGTGATTCTCCCACCTTAGCCTCCCAAGTAGCTGGGACTACGGGCATGAGCCACCACACCTGGCTAATTTTTAATGTTTTTGTAGAGATGGAGTCTCGGCTGGGCGCAGTGGCTCACGCCTGTAATCCCAGTGCTTTGGGAGGCTGAGGCAGGAGGATCACTTGAGGCCAAAAGTTGGAGAGCAGCTGGGCAACATAGCAAGATCCCATCACTAGAAAAATTTTTAAAATATTGGCCAGATGTGGTAGTGCATGCCTGTAGTCCTAGCTACTGGGGCGGCTGAGGTGGGAGGATTGCTTGAAATCAGGAGTTAAAGGCT